AGGGTTCCCCCGCCCCCCCCCCCCCCCCTCGCCATCCCTAATTCAATGTCCAGCCCCTGCCTTTAACCCAGCACAGGTCTGCATCCTCGCCAGGGACAGCAGTGCAGCAGTGAGCTCTGGCTCTCCTGGGGACATCAGCTGTGCTGGACCTCTCGGGGACCCCACAGCGGTGGGATGGGAATACTAGGGCTGGCAGAGGGCTCAGCCCCTGGTGCCAGTGGGCACTGGGGCCATGAGAGTGGCTGAATCGCATAATTCCTGAAAGCCCAACATTTAAATGGGATACTCAGAGCCGTTTCTCATTCTCTGTAACGTAATCCACTTGGCTGTTTATTCCCAGTACAACTGCTGGAATCAACATTGTCAGCTTTTCCCCTGACAACTTGCTTACTTTCCACTAAACAAACTTCCCTCGAGAAGAGAAGCTGCTCTCCCCTATCCTCCTTCCCTCACTGCTTCAAAAGCTCTCCGGCATTGCTCACATTTTTTACAGAACCTGCAGAGCAGAGGTGCTACCTGGTTATCAGCTCAGCTCTTAGCCTTTCCAAGTGTGTTTACAGGATAGTGCAGAAGGTTTTAGCTCTACATCGCCAGGGGGGAGAGAGAGCAATTTCACCGGAATATTACCCAAAGAACTATTTTAATGTCCTTTAACTCCCTTTGAATGTGAGCAGAGCAACTTCATAATTGTTTAATCTTAAAAGTTTAATCTTTTATTTCATAGGCATAGTCTGAGAACATAGACTCCAGACAGCTAAGCATAATATTTAACTGGAACTCTACTAACTTGTGTAAATATTTCCCTTCTCCGTGATGGATCTGGTGTTTGGGGTGGGCAGAGGGGGTTGTACATCTGTTGCAGAAGGGCATTCCTTACCTTCAAAATTCAATCAGCCAGAGTTTGCTTGAGGACTTATTTTTGTTCTGCACAGTGTTTTTGTGCAATGCTGTAGGGAGTCCCCAGATCAGCAGCAAGGTACATGGGGCGAGGTTCAGGAGCAAGGATCCAGACCTGGTTTGGGGAGGGATAGTGAAGGACTGAGTTTGCAGGGATGGAGTATCCAGGGGATCCCTGAGAACAGGGTTTTGTCCTTGGAGGTCTGTATCCAGGAGTTACTTGGCCTCGTGCAGTGCATGTACTGTGGATGACCCTCAGTACTCAGTGTCCAACCTTGACTGGAGGAATAATCAACCCCACGCCTCTGAGAGGGGCTCCTACGACTGCTAGTTCCTGCATCACTTTAATTATACCAAAGAAATGTAAATGGAGTATCTTGCCCAAAGTCATGTGAGAATAAAGGTGCTTTACAATGAGATAGCTACCCTAGGAGAGCTTGGGAGTAGGAATACCACTGTGAGGCATCTTTATTCCCGCGCTACTACCACTACCACTGTAGTGGTTTGGATAAAAAGTCCCCTTCTCTTCCTCCTCCTCCCAGATGACATAGTTATATGAGCAACTTGAAAAGACTATAGATCAGGCCTCCCGCGCTGTCTGCAAGTGTGGGCAAGTGATATTGCCATCAAACTTCCATGCAGTATCCTCATGGCTTTAAGAATGAAAGCTCTTAGAGTGCAGGGAGTGTGATTCTGCAGTCCCTCTGGCATCAATGTAAATCGAGGGGCTTTTTCAAATCTATTCACCAGTTGCACGTGGTTCCCAGTGTGCTCCTTATCCTGGCGATCTGGCAGGGTTGTGGTTTTGCACTGGGATTTAAGCTGCTCCCAGCAGCAGGTATCTCCAAGGTAAGAGGGTGTCTTAAAATGAAATGTGTTTTTTTGTGCTAAGACACAACTGAGACTGAGTGAAACCAGGCAGTCTTTCTGGCTCTCGTTTCTCCAGGAACACATGTTAGACTCTGGCTTAGGCCACTTTGGTTTCTCTAGACAAGTATGAGCTTTCCTCGGCTCCTGTCTGCAGGCTTTCTCTTGCATCTTGCATTTGCTTTCTGTACGTGATCTTTCTAGGCTTACCGAGCCTGCCTCTCTGAGATGAGTGATAGTCTTTGATCTGTGACAGTACTATTTAAATGCTGTATATTTGAAGCTCATTAATCTTTGCGGCTTCCCCCTTGTTGCTCAGAGATAGGTATCTCATTTCACAGATCAACATCTCTGATGCTCTTGGGTGAGCCCATGGTAGAGCAGGGGGAGAGTGCGCAGCATTGCCTGCTCTCCTGTGGGAACCAGCTCTCTCAGTTCAGCCTGCGGTAGGACAGGGGAGGAGGAGGAGGACTAGAAACACTTCTCTGCTCCTTCCCAGTCGAGTTAGGTGGAGCAAGTGGCGATTCTTTTATGGTTTGTATCAGCAGGAGTAGAAGTTGCACTTGTCACAGCAGGCTCCCCTCCTTTGCAGTCCTCAGGAGAAATGTCCAGGTGACAGTAAGGTGATTTTGGAGCCCTGGAGCGGAGGGGTGAATGGACAGCATTGGGCTGGCAGCGGGTGAGGTGTGAGGAACTGCTTGGGGCAGTGGAGACACAAAGTGCATGCAGGTTTTAAGGAGTGAGATTGTGGAGAGTGGGGCAGCAGCAGGCAGAGCTTTGACAGATTAAATCTGAAACCCTCCATCTGCGGTGCCCATTTGGGCTGGGTTCATGTACTGCATTTGTACTTTAAGAGATTGGATATCCGCAGGTTTCTGCACTGTTATTAAGTAAAGCCCGTTAAGCCCAATAGACAAGGGAATTGCTCAGGTCAATAGACATATGTGAAAAACTGTCCCCTCCTGTATTAACGTGAAGTGTTAAGTGTAGCTGAGCTTCCCAAGATACAAGGACGAATCATAAATTTGCTTTCAGGAGTTCCCATCCTGAGGAAACAAATTAGTGTCCCACTTCTCATTCTGAAGAGTGGAAAAATGTCTCTTCTTTCTGCTCTACCTTCTGCTTGAAGCTACAATGCAGAATACTTCACTGCATCAAGAGACTGGTGATGACAGCTCCCCAGCCTGTCCTACCACACCACATCTGCACTGAAAAGCCGGCGAGGAGACTGCAGGGTGTGTGGTGGGAGCCCCCCACCCTGTCACATCATGCAACATAGCCTCTAAAAGCAGTGGTTGAGGGAGGAGACCCTCCCCACAGTACATAATGCTCCCAGTTGATCCTCCATGTGTGTTAGCAGAGAGTCTCTTCCAGCTGCACTGAGAGAGACTGGGGGATTAAAATCAGGTGGGAGCTGCTAGGAGCAGAGTTGAGAGCTGCCGAAGAGTGCATTTCACTGTCTGTGTCCAACATTGCACTCAGGTGTTTTACATTGGCAACCCATTACCCCGTTAAGGTCATTAGACAAACTCTGCCATAACAGCAGTTGTGAGCTCTTTGTAAGGCTTTCCTTGCAAACGGCTGCTTCTGGAGACGTTAGCAACTAGGCAGAGACCCTCTTCATCTGGGGTAAATGGTATGGGTGTGTGAGGTGGTGGTGATGGAGGGCACATGCCAGCTTTTCCTAATTAGGGATGCACAGTGGTGGCACGAGTGGGAGCAAAGCAGATCATGTGGGAGCAGAAGAATGTGTGTGGCTACTGCAGAGCAATCATGCATGGCACAGAGCAAGAATAAGGGCAGGGTGTCTGTGTGAAGAGCTTGCAAGAGAGAAGCTGCCCCACAGAAATATGTTTTTCTCCTCTCCCCTGAAGACAGCGAGAGCTGCAGTCGTGCTTGTTCCTTGGCAGGGAATCACACGGCTTGGGTCGAGCACCTGTGACATTTGTCTTTCCTGCACTTGTGAACCTCCCCTGGTGGTTTTGTGATTCCTGCTGAATGCTGTGGGATTTGTGAGATGGTGGTCCTGGAGCAGGACATGTCCACAGGGCCCAGGACCTGTCCCCTGGGGCACTGGGTCTGGAGGGGACTGTGGTTCAGAGACTGCCATTGTGAGTGGGTCTGTACAGAGAGCAGAGCACGAGGCTGGCCATGCTTTTGATGCCTGTGCTGCCCAGCAGAAAGGCTGCTGTGCTTGTTCTTGCTGGAGTTTTCCCCAGATATGTGGTTTTATCTCCAGTTATAGCTAACTCCATGGGGCGGGGGGGGGCACCTTGTGAAATGGGACCTGGGAGGGTTG